AAACAAAAGATAAAGGATCCAAATAAATAAAATCATGAGTGAAAGAGGAGAGACCACAACCAACACTGAAGAAATACAATTATAAGAGAGTATTATGAGCAAATACATGCTAATCAATTAGGCAATCTGGAAGAAATTGATAAATTCCTAGAAACATATAAATGATCAAAACTGAAACAGGAAGAAATAGAAAACCTGAGCAGACCCATAATCAACAAATAAATAGAATCAGTACTAAAAAAATTTCCCAATAAACAAGAGTCCAGCCTGGATGGTTTCCAGGGGAATGCTATCAAACATTTAAGGAAGATTTAACACTTATTTTTCTGAAACTCTTCCAATAAATATAATGGGAGGAAAACTTCCAAAATCTTTCTGTGAGACCAGCATTACCTTGATCCCACAACTGGACAAAGACCCCACTAAAAGACGAATTACAGACCAATATCCCTGATGAACATGGATGCCAAAATTCTCACCAAGATACTAGCTAATCCAAGAGTACATTAAAAGGATTATTCTCCACGACCAAGTGGGATTTATTCCGTGGCTTTAGAGGTGGTTCAACAATTGAGAATCAACCATCCTGATGCACCACATTAATAAAGGAAAGGATAAGAACCACATGATCATATCAATAGATGCAGAAAAAGCATTTGAAAAATATAGCATTCTTACTTGATAAATCCTGAACAAAGTAGTTATATAGAGAACATACCTCAACATAAAGACCATTTATGAGAGACCCACTCTAATATCATCCTCAAAGGAGAAAACCTGACAACGTTTCCCTTAAGGTCGGGAATATGACAGGGATGTCTATTCTCACCACTGTTGTTCAACATAGTACTGGAAGTCATAGTCTCACCAATCAGACACCAAAAACAAATAGAAGGAAACCAAATCAGCAAAGAAGTCTAATTTTAACTCTTTTCAGACAACATGATATTCTTTAGAAAACTCAAAACACTCCACCAAAAAAAAAATGCTGGAACTGATACAGGAATTTAGCAAAGTCACAGGATTTAAATTTGATACACAGAAGTTGTTGCATTTCTATACATTAACAATGAGGCATCAGGAAGAGAAATCAAGGAATTGAACCCATTTACAATTGCGCCAGAAATAATGAGATATCTAGAAATAAACCTAACCAAAGAGGTAAAAAAAATCTGTGTTCTGATAACTATAGATCATTTATGAAAGAAATTGAGGAGGACACAAAGAAATGGAAAAATATTCCATGTACATGGATTGGAAAAACAAATAATGTTAAAATGTCTATATTATCCAGGGTAATCCACACATTCTATGCAATCCCTATAAAAATAACACCAGCATTTTTCACAGAGCTTGAATAAATAATTTTAAAATGTGTGTGGAACCAGAAAAGACCCCAAATAGCCAAAGGAATGTTGAAAAAGAACCAAAGCTGGAGGCATCACATTTTTAGACTTCAAGTTGTATTACAAAGCTATAATCATCAAGTCAGTAGGGTTCTGACACAAAAACAGACACATAGATCCATGGAACAGAATAGAGAACCCAGAAATGGACCCTTAACTCTATGGACAACAAAACTTCAACAAAGCAGGAAAGACTATCCAATGGAATAAAGACATTCTCTTTAACAAACGGTGTTGGGAAAATTGTACAACAACATGCAGAGGAGTGGAACTGGACTACTTCATTACAACATACTTAAAAATAAATTCAAAATGAATGAAAGACCTAATTCTGAGATAGGAATCCATCAAGACCCTAGAGGAGAACATAGGCAGCAACCTCTTTGACCTTGGCCACAGCAAGTTCTTGTTAGACACGTCTCCAGAGGTAAGGGGGGAAAAAAAGCAAACATGAACTATTGGGACTTCACCAGGATAAAAAGTTTTTGCACACCAAAGGAAACAATCAACACAACTAAAATGCAACCTAGGGAATAGGAGAAGATATTTTCAAACGACTTATGATATAAAGGGCTGGTATCCGAAATATATAAAGAACTTATGAAATGGAACACCCAAAAAACAAAAATCCAATCAAGAAATGGAAGAAGAGTTACGCCTGGGTGGCTCAGTGGTTGAGCATCTGCCTTTGGCTCAGGGTGTGATCCCCAAGTACTGGGATCAAGTCCCACATCGGGCTTCCTGCATGGAGCCTGCTTCTCTGCCTCTCTCTCTCTCTCTCTCTCTCTCTCTCTCTCTCTCTCTGTGTCTATCATGAATAAATAAATAAAATCTTTAAAAAAATGGAAGAAGACATGAACAGACATTTCTCCAATGAGACATATAATAGAATGGCTAATAGAAACATGAAAAGATGCTCAAGACTTGGTGTTAAATGCATCTGATAAATTATTGAACACTATATCTGAAATTAATGATGTACTGTATATTTGCTTATTGAATTTTAATTAAAAATAAAATAAAAAATAAAAAGTAAAGATGCTCAATGTCGCTGATCATCAGGGAAATACATATCAAAACTACAATAAGGTAATACCTCACACCAGTCAGAATGGCTAAAATTAACAACTCAAGAAACAACAGATGTCAATAATGATGTAGAGAAAGAGGAACCCTTTTACAATGTTGTTGGGAAAGCAAACTGATGCAGCCAGTCTGCAAAATAGTATGGAGGTTCCTCAAAATGTTAAAAACAGATATATCCTATGACCCAGCAATTGTACTACTTGTTACTTATCAAAAACATACAAAAATAGTGATTTGAAGGGGCACATGCACCCCAATGTTCATACCAGCAATGCCCACAATAGCCAAAATATGGAAAGAGCCCAGACATCCATTGACAGATGAATGGATAAAGAAGAGGTAATATAAATATATATACAACGGAATATTACTCAGCCATCAGAAAGAACATAATCTTGCCATTTGCAACAATCTGGATTGAACTAGATTGTATTATGGTAAGCAAAATATGTAAGTTAGAGAAAGACAAATACCATATGATTTCACTCATGTGGAATTTAGGAAACAAAACAAATCAACATAAGAGAAGGGAAGGAAAAATAAATAAGGTAAAAACAGAGAGGTAAGCCATAAGAGACTTTTAACTATAGGGAACAAATCTGGGGTTACTGAAGGGGAAGTGAGTGGATGGATGGGATAATTGGGAGCAGAGAATTAAGTAGGGCACTTGATGTTATGAGTATTGGGTATTATATACAACTGATGAATCACTAAATTATACCACTGAAACTAATAATATAGTACATGTTAACTAATTTGAACCTAAAAAAGGAAAAGAAATATGATATTGATATTAAGGAAAACCAATATCAAGGAATTTTTATGTAATAGTAATCTTAAACCTTTTTATAAAATTCTTTATGACTAAGATGATATGATGTCTGGAATTTGTTCTGAAATAATACTGTGGAGAGTGGGGGAATCAGTAAGGATGTGAAGAAACAAAGTTGGCTATATACTGATATAATTATGAATGTTGGGTGAAGGATACATGAGAGCCTAGTAAACTATTCTACTTTTATAAGTTGAAAATTTAAGTTTAATTACTTAATATATATTTATACATGCATACACACACACACACGTATTTGTGTGTAAGCGGAATCAGCCTGCACTCTACATGAAGGAGAAGCAAATAAAATATCAATAAGAAAAGTGTCACAGGAATGTTGTGACAATGCAGCCTGGAAGTTGGTTACCTGTTCAGAGCTTCAGGGCACAGCATCTATGATTCTGGTTTCTTCTACACAAATCCTAACACAACAAATATAATGCAGTGCATGTTAACAAGAAAGGAAGGCCCCTTATCCATGGTGTCCAAGCCTCAATTCTGAGCTGAATGATTGGGGAAGAAGGAGTCTCCAAAGCAGAGGGTAAAAACTAATGACTGACAATCTACATCTGGCCCATACAAAGGTTTCTTTGAGTCCCTAGTGCTATAATAATTTTTTAATTATATGCCAACATTCAAAATCTAGGACATCTCACATAAATTTTTTTTTATAAATTAATTTTTATTGGTGTTCAATTTACCAACATACAGAATAACACCCAGTGCTCATCCCGTCAAGTGTCCCCCTCCGTGCCCGTCACCCATTCACCCCCACCCCCCGCCCTCCTCCCCTTCCACCACCCCTAGTTCATTTCCCAGAGTTAGAAGTCTTTATGTTCTGTGTCCCTTTCTGATATCTCCCACACATTTCTTCTCCCCTCCCTTATATTCCCCTTCACTATACATAAAATTTTTATTTTTCTTTTATTTGTATATTTATTATTGGAGTTTGATTTGCCAACATATAGTATAACACCCAGTGTTTATCCCATCGTGCGCCCCTCAGTGCCTGTCACCCAGAAAAAAAAAATCTTGAATTTTTTTGGTTTTCTTCAAAATTTCCGAAATTTGGTAATAATTAGTTGAATTTGAATGACAGTTCTCTTTCAGAGGGCACAGTGCCCTTCAGTTGGCAGAATCTCCATCAGGTTCGCTTTACTTAACTTTTTTTTTTTAATATGCACATTTTCCCCTAGTGAACAAAGGTGTGTTACAGGTTGGTGGATTGTGTTTAGCTCCAAAATCCTGCTTTAATTTCACTTAATTTAAATTGCCTTTGTGCTTTTCCATACTCGGTAAAACCTGTGGGCCTCTGGTAACAAGGGAGGGAGTGATGTCTTAGTATATGTCTTAAATGCTTAATCTTAGTATAAATGTTATAACTTCCTGATTAGAAAGACCCATGAGTGTTAAATGGGGATAATTCTTATTCAAAAGATACAAGACTTAGTGTTTTCCTAGGCTGGTTTTTAAAAAGCTACACTTGAGTAGGAACAAGACATAAGGGTAATCCATTAACGAAGCTTGTGTCCATGAGTATAAATGAATCAGTCTTTGTTTCAAGATTTTCCTCTCTTCCTATCTCTCACAGTCTCTCTCTCTCTCTCTCTCTCTCTCTCTCTCTCTCTCTCGGTGTGTGTGTGTGTGTGTTGGTGATGAGGTGGAAGTGTGCAGACCTGTATGGATTCTGCGGTGGGCTTTCAGGTGGGAGCTTTTGGTGTACACTTTGCTGCATCCTGCAAAATCACATTGGTGAATCCGTCTTCTCTTCAACTCAAGAGACTCTTCTCCCTGCATTTGGGTCATTGCTGATGGTCTGAGCAAAGAAAGAGAGGACCAAAAAATGATTTTACCATGGAAGCTAAATAAATGGACTTAAATACAGTGGATCACTTCATATATGCATTTAATTTATGCCAATTTAAGAGTAGGCCTTCAAGAAAAGAAATAATTGAAATAGTTCAAGCAATTCCCTCAAGTAGGCCATTCTCAGTAACTGCAGGTTCCAGGAGGTGGTAATGTTTCCTTGGGTGATTTCTGTTCTCAGTGTGAGCATTTCACTCTAACAAGACTCATTTTTGTGTTTATATAAATGTATTTTTTCATATTACATGGTTGTTAAAATGTATGACAACTATCTTATTAGTCTTAACATTGGAAGATAAGGGTGCTATAAACTTACAGAGAGAAACAGTATGCAACTGTACTTTATGGGAAATTTATAGATTTTTCAAGAGCAAAATTGGTGGTCTAGACAATTGGTACATAACTCTGCTATAACATGCATGTCCATGCACATGTGTTCATTCAAACTCATGCCTTTGCCAGGAAGGCAATTTACCTATATTTTGTTATCCTTAAATGTTTACTATTGTATCTGAGACTTTGTTCCACTTTTACCAGACACACACACACACACACACACACACACACACACACACACACACATATATATATAGACAGATCCGAAGTAAAGACAAAAGTACTCCCTCTTGCTGCAGTCCCTGAATACCCTGTAAAGCGGAAGATCCACTCTCAATTGTACTCTCCTCACTGTCACTTGGGATATCCAGTGAAGACATGGAGGTGGGGTCAACTTTCACTAAAAGCAAAGAAAAAGAGCAGTGTGGGCTGCAAATATATGTACCTCTGCAATCATTCTCAGGATTCCCAGTTTGGCACACAATAAGAAGTAGCAGCAAGATAGAGAAATAGATAAAAAGCAAAGATGAAAGAAGTGCATTTGTATGGAAGGAAGAAAAGAACATTTACAATTTTTAACATAGCTAAAATTCCTTTGAGAGAAAGATAATAAGGAGCATTATTATGCTCCTGGAATGAGCTCACTGGAAAGAGCTTCTCTAGGATAATGAATTAAATAGGATAGGGTTTGGGTATGATTTAACTCTATCTCCAACCCCCAAAACAAGGGTCTCCCAAAAAGTCAGACTCAATGTGTATTTGTTGAGCTGAACTTTCTGAATAGTTTGCTGGCTGTCTGAAGATCAATGCCTAGGTTCACCTCAGAGATGGAAACTTCTCCTTTGGCTTTTGTGTCCCTAAATGGAAATGAGCCAATGAGATGAAATGCATACCTAGTAGCTAGTAGGTACTTGATACATGTTGACATCCTTCCCTTCAACCTATGTTGGGAGAAGCCCTCAAATATTTATTATCAACAACTGATGCTTCAGATCCCTAACAAAACTCAGTTTTTGAGTTTGACCCAATGGGCACCAGTCTTCTAGATCTAGTTAAAGCTTAAAATTTTCTATATAGAAGAAACTTAAAGGAATATTTGGCTAGTACATTTGTCTCCATACACTGATTGTGTATCACTCACTAAAAAGTTTTAAGCATGCATCTCAATATGTATGTGTGTCTCTGTATGTGTGCATGTATGCTACAAATGTACTAGCATACTAAAATTTTGTGTACATTATGAAAAATAAAAGGAACATGCAAAGGGTGAGAAAACAGAAATAGAAATGTTGACACTTTCTTCTTGTGCTATTGTTTTGTGTACATTTCTTACTCCCCCACCTCCCAACCAAGGTGTAAACATACCATTTTAGAGACTATTGGGCTAAAATGGTTTTAGTTTAAAATTACATTGAAATGTTTAAAATTTATTTTGTTTATTTAGAGTGCTCTAGTTGACTGATGGATATTATGATAGCAATTCAAAGCCCTATCAAATCATTGCTTGATTCTATCACTGCCTTGATATCAGCAAATTCTCAGGGAATTTTATTTTCCCATTTCCTTTTTTGTTTGTCTTTCTCTTCCCATATGACAACTGATACCGAAATTTTAATTAACCCTTTCAGGGGAATCTCAAAAACAAGACTGCTATAAACACACTTATTACCACAATTAACCACTAGCAGATTGGTATTTTTATTCAGAAAAACACTACAGAGTCTCAGTTTTTCAGTCTCCTACATTTGGTGATGGAATGATTACAATGTATTGAATTTCAAAGACAACTATTAAAATTATTTTTCTATACTGAGCTAAGATCTGATTTTTAGTCATTTCCACCTACATATCTCCTTTTTGGTCTTTTTAATTCATGCTAAATATTTATCAGCTCCTTGTTTGACGTGTGTTTGAAATGTCTCACTATCCTGATTTTCTCTTCTGATTATACTCCAACTTCCCAATGTCTTTCCTAAGGCACAACATCCAAAACTGATTGCAATTCTTTTTTTTTAATTAATTAATTTATTTATTTACGATAGTCATACAGAGAGAGAGAGAGAGAGAGGCAGAGACACAGGCAGAGGGAGAAGCAGGCTCCATGCACCAGGAGCCTGACGTGGAATTCGATCCCGGGATTCCAGGATCGCGCCCTGGGCCAAAGGCAGGCGCCAAACCGCTGCGCCACCCAGGGATCCACTGATTGCAATTCTATAGCTTTGGTGAAGCTAAATATTTTGAACCACTTCAGAGGCGATATAATTTTCTTTGATCATTTTCAATTACAAACTAAAATAGATACATCTCCATGATAGGAAGTGGGTGGCTGGGAGATAGTGGTGAAAAGGGGACTTAATTTATTCTTTTCTGAATTTTGAACTTATTTCTAAGATTAAATAATAAGGAAGATTACAGTATTTGAACTCTTTCCTGTACAGATTTTCAAGTTTGTTCATCAAATTATTTGTTGCAAGACAACTATTAACTACCACTGTGTTAAGTTCTCTGAAGATGCACAAAGGGAAAAAAGATAGTTTTGTCCTTGAGGAATTTACAATTTAGTTGGGAAGAATGCCCATACACTTGTAACACAGGCAAATAAAAAAGTAAAATGGAAAGTTATAGATGCGAAATTGAAGGGAGCACAGGGAAGATGGCAATATTTCAAAGAACACTATTTTACCTGTAGGGAAGAGAAAAGATATGGTACTGGGAGAGGGAGTTGCTAAGGCTGGCTACATATGTAGAGCTAGAAATATTCTCAAGTTTTCCACAAAAGCATTCCTAATGGCATAGACAAACACATTTTCCTAGAAAGTCCCAGGGTGTGTACCTTAATAAGCTTAAAACTATTTTTGGAATTTGTGTTTTATCTTAAAAGTCTATTCAAATTGTACATTTTCCCTAATAAAATCATATTTTTAAAATATAAAATATTTTAAATTACTTATTATGAAACAACATACAGGTTCCAGGAAGATCCATAGTATTTCACTCGAAAATATGTACACCCTAATTTGAGAAGCATGGACTAAACAAAAGAGCATCATTGTACATTCTTAAACACTGAAGAGACATGATAAAAGCAGTATTTATAAATAGTTACTCTTGAAGCTGTGTGCAAGAATAGAGGGAGTGAAAAGAGATAGGAGATAGGATAATCCCAAAAGAGAATAAATGGAGGAAGGTAATATCCAGGAAAGAGGCAAACTGATGCTTACCTGATCCAGCATTTTTGCCATCTCCTCCAGTGAGTGGGACTGTAATGGCTGCAGGGCCCCCATCTGCAGGCAAAGTAGTAAACACCATGGGCAGTGACTGTATCACCACTGGGATGGTCTTCAGGCTACCTGATTTATTTGGCAGCCTCACTGAGGGGATAGTATGGATCACATGTAAGATATGCTGGCCACCAGTGCTCTGAGAGGAGGCCAGGATAGAGCCTGGAGTCAAAACAGTAGGGGTATTTGCTGATATGCCTGTGTCAGATGTTGAAGTGGACACTACGAGTGTCTGGAGAGCAGGCTGTGGCTTGGGAGGATGTACTGGAGCTTGCAGCATGCTGGCAGGCTGGAGAGGAGCCTTGGGCTTGTGAAAAGAGAGGTCAACTGGTTCCACCTCGGGCAGATTGAAATCATTAGCCAGAAGTTCTTCTGGGGGCTCAATCTTGATGTTAGCAATGAGTGCTGGGTTCTCCATAGGACTGGCATCCGGGAATGGTGGAGATGTCATCTTCTCTCTTTTTGCTGACTTTGGAGGATTTCTGATATGAATAGAGCCAGTGACCTTAAATAAGTAAATAAATGAAAGGTGGAAAATAATCAATACCCTGAAGAAGAGACATGTGAACAATGAAAGCAAGAATCTGTATTTTCTTCTTATGAACAGAATATATAGGGAGTTGAGAGAAATGAGGCAGGCGTATGAGGAAAAAAGAAGGGAAACTTTACTTAACACTAGTACCAGGCACTGTATCAGGCAATTGATACAAATTATTTCATTTAATCTTTATAATAATCCTGCAAGATTACTTAAAGTCAATATTTTTTTAATATAAATGTATTATGCTAAGCTCTGTGAGGGCAAATGTAAGTGTCTACTCATGAAGTGCATACTAACATGCACTTACCTCTCTGTCTAAACAAGAGAGAGGGTTTCAGTGAGGAAGAGCTATGGATCTTAGAGAGTTGATGGGAATTCTCAGGCAGAGAAGGGATAAGAGATATTCCTGTCTGCAGAGATATAACAACAGACAATATGCTTAGAGAATACTGATACAGTATTGTCAGTTGTACTATATGCAAAGCCGAAATATCCAACTTTTACATTAAAAAGTATGAATTAAATGATCAATTTAGAGGTAATATATGTTTTTAAAAACCCACAAAACACAAAACCCATTGTTTGCATATCATACATCTGTAGTGCTTCTTATCACTAGCCTGAGACTTGGGGACTGAGGCTAACCACTGCAAAGAAGTTCATGCTACCTGCTGCAAAATGACTAATAAACCATCCTTTTTATGTCTGAAAAAAAAAACCCCACAAAACTGCAACCTAATTAAAAATTTCATAAAAAATCCATTAATATAAAGGTCTATGATACCGTGATCTGTGTATGTCATTGCCAAACAACACACTGGACCTTGAAAATGGTCTTAGAAATAGCGGTGTTACTTTAGCCAGTTGACAAAACAAGATCTCATTCTCTATCATGATTAGATTTGAGTTAGAGGAGTTTTAAATTATGAGAAATGAGAATTTAGTTTTGAATTATAAGAAATTAGTTTTGAATTATGAGAAATGTTCAGTAATGCACCTCTGACACAGAATAAAACTATCCTTTATTTTTGCATATTTGGAATATGATAGAAAGTTGAGTTTGAAGAAAGGCTATGTGATAAAATATAATTGTTTCAAAGAGGGGAATGACATGTGCAGAGCAATTTTGGAGAATTAACTAGCTCCTCAATGAAAGCAGAATAAGACTGCATTCAAAGGGACCATAAAGAAAGAGGGAAGATATTGGTGACACATTTATGAGATCATTGGAAAAATTTGACTAGATATTGGATGATGTTAAATAATTATTGTTAATGTTTGTAGATTTGGTATAGGTTGTTGGAAGATAGCGGTGGAGTAGGGAGACCCTAGGCTCTCCTTGTACTATTGGATACAACTAGATAATTATCAAATCATCCTAAATACACAAGGAATTGACCTGAAGATTATCAGAACAAACTCCACAACTGAAGGTAGAGAAGAGGCCACATCAAAGAAGGTAGGAAGGGTGGAGATGTGGTTTGGGAGAGAAACAGATTGTGGTTGCTGAAGTGGGGAGGGAGCAACAGTCATGGAGGAGGGTGAGAGACAGACGAACTCACAGGGAGTGCACAGATAGCAATTGTCTTGGAAAGTGAGAGGAACTGAATTTTATGACTTCTGTCAGCCAATGGAACTTAAAGTCTGTGGTTTTAAAGGTCAGTGGGCTTGGCTGGGATAGAGTCTGGATGGCATTGTACTGCTCTTGGGAAGAAGGCAGGAAAATAACTCGTGGAAATAGAGCATGGAAACAGTGATTGTTTTTTTCTTCTCATGCACAGAATATATAGGGAGTTGAGAGAAGTAAGGGAAGAGTATGAAGAAAAGAGGGAAACTTTACTGAACACTAGGAAGGATATTTGCTCATTTTGAAGTGCATCCCACAAAGGCAGTGTTCATGGAAGAGACCCTCTGGTAACAAAGGGAACTGGCTGGACCCATTTCCCACACCTACTCTTCAGCATAAGCACAGGGCCACCTACAAGAACAAGCCCAGCACAAATGCTCACTGCTTAACTTGTCTAAACCAAGGCCCCATGCTCCAGAAAATGTCCCCTCTCAGTCTTTCCTGCTTCAGTCCCAGCACTGTAGGCCCCCTTCCCTAGAAGACAGGCACAAATTCTTGCTCATACCATGTACCCCAACTCAGGAGATTCGCAGAGCCTAGGATCCAGGCATGGTGATGACAACTCTCATTTCACAAGCAGACCAGAATACACTTAGTTAAAATGCCACATTCATCCCAGAGGCCAAATATTTTCCCACAACAGGCAAAGAGAGCCTCTGAAACTATTGGCCTGAAGGATAAAGCAGCCGAGATAAAACAGCAATGCACATGCAAAACACATCAGAGACACGTCAAGATGTGCCAGGCCTTGGGGAACAGAAGACTACACAGCATGGCACTACAAGTGACTGTCTGGAAGTAGGCAACACAAAAGCAGTAAAAATGAATACTTCTGTAAAAAAGAAGTCAAGGAACTCACAAAAGAATGGATGCAAAATGTGACAAAATTTACCTCAAAGATGATGAAACGAGTAAAGAATGAGTTTAAATTTAAATAACCAACAGCTTTATACAAACTGCTATATGCAGAAATGGTTATATACAAACTTAATGGTACCCATACACTGAAGAAACTAATAAATATGCAAAGAGCAGAGAGAAAGAAATCCAAATACACCACTAAAGAAATCCAGCAAAACATGGAAGAGAGAAAAGAAAGGATCAGAGAAAAACTTCAGAAATAACCACATAATAAATAATAAAATGACAACAAACACATATCTATTAATGATTTTGAATATAAATGGATTAAATGCCCCAGTAAAAAAAATAAGGTGACAGAATGGAAAAATAAACAAGACCCATTTATATGCTGCCTACCAGCATAGACTCAATTTAGATTTAAAGACAACTGCATATTGAAAGTGAGGGGACTAAGGAATATCTATCATGCAAATGGATGTCAAAAGAAAGCTGTAGTAGCAATATTTATGTTGGATAAAGTAGACATTAATACAAACACTTGAACAAAAGACAAAAAAGGATACTACATAATAATAAAGAGGAAAGTCCAACAAGAACATAAAACAATTGTAAATATTAATTCACCCAATATGGGAGCACCCATATACATAAAAAAATTAATAACAAACATAAGGGAGCTAATTGATAATAATACAATAATGGTAGGGGACTTTAACACCCCTCTTATAACAATGGACAGATCATCTGAACAGAAGATCAACAAGAAACAATGGTTTTGAATGACAAACTGGAATAGAAGGACTTAACAGATATATTCAGAACATGCCATTCCAAAACAGTAGAATAGACATTATTTTCAAGTGCACAAGGAACATTATCCAGAAGAGGTCACAAAACAAACCTCAAGAAATCCAAGAATATCAAAGAAATACCATGCAATCATTTCTGATCACAATGCTATGAAACTACAAGAAAAACTATGGAAAGAGCATAAATATATGGAGATCAAGTAACATGCCACTAAACAATGAATGGGTCAACCAGGAAATCAAAGAAGAAATAAAATGTATGTAAAAATGAAAACACAATTGTCCAAACTCTTTGGGATGCAGCAAATCATTTCTATGAGGGAAATTTATAGCAATATAGGCCTACGTCAAAAAACAAGAAAACTCTCAAGTCAATACCTAACCTTACACATTAAGAATCTAGAAAAAAGAAAACAAACAAAGCCTGAAACCAGAACAAATAAGGAAATAGTAAAGATTAGAGCAGAAATGAAAGACATAGAAAACAAACAGAACAGGTCAATGAAACCAGGTGATTATTTGAAAAAAATCAATATAATTGAACCTCTAGCCAGACATATCAAGCAAAAAGAGAAAAGTCAAATAAAATCACAAATGATAGAGGAGAAATAATGAACAACACCACATAAATACAAATCATTATAAGAGAATATTATGAAAAACTATGTACCAACAAATTGGAAAAACTGGAAGAAATGGATAAATTCCTAGAAACATAAAAATGACCAATACTGAAAGAGGAAGAAACAGAAAATTTGAACGGAGCAATATCCAGAAAAGAAGTTGAATTGATATTCAAAAAACTCCCAACAAACAAAAGTCCAGGAACAGAGGGCTCACAGAGGAATTCCTCCAAACAGTTAAAGAGTTAATAAGAAAGCTACTAGGGGAAGAGTTAAGATGGCAGAGTAGTAGGAGGACCCTATGCTTGCCTGGTCCCTTGAACACAGCTAGATAAATATCAAATCCTTTTGAACACTAGGAAAATGATCTCAGGACTGAGAACAAGTTGCACAACTAGAGGGAGAAAAGAGGCTACATCATGGAAGGTAGGAGATACAGAGATATGATTTGAAGGAGAAAATATTTGCCAGTGCTGCAGAGGGGATGGAACCTTGATCAGAAAGAGAGAGAGAGAGAAAGAGAGAGAGAACAGAGCACAGGGCACTGTACAAGAAAAACACTTCCCCAAAACCACTTATAGGGAAAAGAAGAGGGGCTGATTATTGCAAGATTTTTAAGCAGTGGAGCTCAAACTAAAGTTTTAAAAGTCTGCAACATCACAGGGTGGAGCCTGGCAGGTGTAGAGGTGCTTCTGTGGAGAAGGAAGGCAGAGGCCTAGGAACAGACAGCATGGTCTGAGGATCCTCTGCATCATACTGGGAGAGACAGTTCCCATGCTTGGAATGCATTTGGTAAAGGTGGCTCTGCTTCTCCAGGGACAAAAGAGCCTATGGGTGCCACTGAGATGCTCCATTCATTAACATAGGAGCAGAGACACCTGCTGAGGGCAGCTAACCTGGATTCCAGCTTTTTGCTGCACTTTACCATAAACTCCAAGCCCCTGTGGTTCCTGTGATTGCCCTTATGGGACAAAGCAGCACTAGCCATAGTGTGGTGAAACCATTCCCCAGAGGACCAAGATGGGTCCCTGCTGTACCAGGTCCCTAAAATTTGGAGTTTTAAAACCCAGCCAATGTTCCTGAAATAAAACACAGAAGCACTGCATGGCCAGGAGGGCAGACAGATCAGACACAGACAGGGTAGAGGCAGGGAATTGAAGGGTCCCTGAGACACACAAGTGCAGATGGTTTGCTTTTCAGTGAGGGCTTCCTGAATAGGTAGGCATGAACTCCCATGTCTGGGAACAAGAGAGCTGGCTGATGTGGTTTTCCCCCTGCCCATTACCAGTGACAGACTTAAGTGTGCATTATAGCACCTACCATGGAGATTTGAGCTACTTAGACCAAGTCCTGTCCCCTTTCCCAGCTTCCTTCAGGTGCTGCTGAACTAGGACAAGTATGCCTGAGATCCAGAATAACAACGGTCCCTCCTGCAGAATACCACCACAAACCTCCTACATGCACCAAGTCTACTGACCATAGAGTGCTGCAAAGCTTTACCTCTCAGAGAAATGGGATCTAGATTCTTTTAACAATTAAAGCAGAGCACACCTCGTTAGAACTCACTACACACTGGACAAAGGTCAAAACACTCTCCACTGCAGGTAAGGAGAAACTCTGCAGAGGACTGACCTGAGGGAAAGAATAGCCAAAACAAAACAGCAGAGCACATTCAGTGTACACCAGAAACACTCCTTAAAGTGCCAGGCCCTAGACAGTATAGGACTTTTCTTAGTATATCCATTACTCTCAATAGCAGGAAACATAACAGGCTTTCACAACACACAGAAGACAGAGACCTAGACAAGATGCCAAGATGGAGGAATTCACCCCAAAAGAAAACTAGATTAGTTCTGGCCACTGATCTAATACAAACAGATATAATTAATATGCCTGAACCAGAATTTAAAGCAATAATCAGAAAGATACTAGCTGGACTTGAGAAGAGCATAGAAACACCAGGGAGTTCCTTATTACAGAGACAAAAGACTAAAAACTAGTCAGGCCAAAATAAAAAATGCTATAGCTGAGATCCAAAATGAACTGTATGTAATGATCACAAGGATGGAAGAAGCAGAGAAAGGAAGAAGTGATAAAGAGGATAAAATTATGGAAACAAATGAAGCCAAAAAGAAGAGGGAGGAAAATATTGGATCACAGAAGTAGATGAATGGTACTCAGTGCCTCCATTAAACATAACATTCCTAACAGAGGAATGTCAGAAGGAGAGGGAAAATGGAGCAGAAGGTTTCTTTGAACAAATTGTAGCTGAAAACTTCCCTAATCTGGGAAGGAAGCAGGTATCCAAATCCAGCAGACAAAGAGAATTCCCATTAAAATCAATGAAAACAGGTGAATAGAAAGACATATTGTAGTAAAATTTGCAAACTACAGATATAAGGAGCATTTTTTGAGGGCACGTAATGTGATGAGCACTGAGTGTTATACACAACTGATGAATTACTGAAAACTACATCTGAAACTAATGATGTATTATATGTTAGCTAATTGAATTTATATTTAAAAAATACAGAGATAAGGAAAAAATCCTGAAAGCAACAACTGAAAAAAGAACCCTAAACTACAAAGGAAGAAAAATCAGATTCACAGCAGATCTATCCACAGAAACTTGGCCAGCCAAAAGACAGTGGAATGATATAGTCAACCTGTGAATGGGAAAAATCTTCAGCCAGCAATATTTTATCCAGCAAGGATGTCATTTAGAATAGAAGGAGAGGTAAAGAGTTTCCAAGACAAATAAAAACTAAAGGGATTTGTGAACACTAAATAAGCCCTGCAAGAAATATTAGAGGAGACTCTTAGAGTGAGAAACAAAGACCAAGAGCAATAGAGACTAGAACCAAAGAGAAATACAAACTAAACCAAAGAAAATTTCCAGAAGCAACGACATTACATATCATAAAATGGCGATGAATATTAATAATTACTCTGGATATAAATGGGTTCAATGCTTCAATCAAAAGACATAGGGTATCAAAATGGATTTTTTTTACTGCGACTTTATTATTTTTTTATTGGAGTTCAATTTGCCAACAGATAGCATAACACCCAGTGCTCATCCCATCAAGTGCCCCCCTCAGTGCCCATCACCCAGTACCACCAGCCTCTGAGGACCACGTTTCCACCACCCCTTGTTCGTTTCCCAGAGTTAGGAGTCTTTCATGTTCTGTCTCCCTCTCTGATATTTCCCACTCATTTTCTCTACTTTCCCCTTTATTCCCCTTCACTATTTTTTACATTCCTCAAATGAATGAGACCACATAATGTTTGGCCTTCTCCGATTGACTTATTTCACTCAGCATAATACGCTCCAATTCCATCCACTTCTAATCAAATGGTGGGTATTTGTCGTTTCTAATGGTTGAATAATATTCATTGTATACATAGACCACATCTTCTTTATCCATTCATCTTTCGATGGACACCGAGGCTCCATCCACAGTTTGGTTATTGTGGAAATTGCTGCTAGAAACATGGGGGTGCAGGTGTCCCGGAGTTTCATTGCATCTGTATCTTTGGGGTAAATCCCCAGGAGTGCAATTGCTGGGTCATAGGGCAGAACTATTTTTAAATCTTTGAGGAACCTCCACACAGTTTTGCAGAGTGGCTGCACCAGTTCACATTCTCACCAACAGTGCAAGAGGGTTCCCCTTTCTCCACATCCTCTCCAACATTTGTTGTTTCCTGCTTTGTTAATTTTCCCCATTCTCACTGGGGTGAGGTGGTATCGTATTGTGGTTTTGATTTGTATTTCCCTGATGGCAAGTGATGTGGAGCATTTTCTCATGTGCTTGATGGCCATGTCTATGTCTTCCTCAGTGAAATTTCTGTTCGTGTCTTTTGCCCATTTCATGATTGGATTGTTTGTTTCTTTGCTGTTGAGTTTAATAAGTTCTTTATAGATCTTGGATACTAGCCCTTTATCTGATACATCATTTGCTAATATCTTCTGCCATTCTGTGGGTTGCTTTTAGTTTTGTTGACTGCTTCTTTTGCTGTGCAAAAGCTTCTTATCTTGATGAAGTCCCAATAGTTCATTTTTGCTTTTGTTTCTCTTGCCGTCGTGGATGTATCCTGCAAGAAGTAACTGTGGCCAAGTTCAAAGACGGTGTTGCCTGTGTTCTCCTCTAGGGTTTTGATGGAATGTTGTCTCACATTTAGATATTTCATCCATTTTGAGTTTATCTTTGTGTATGGTGAAAGAGAATGGTCTAGTTTCATTCTTCTGCATGTGGATGTCCAATTTTCCCAGCACCATTTATTGAAGAGACTGCCTTTCTTCCAATGGATAGTCTTTCCTCCTTTGTCGAATATTAGTTGACCATAAAGTTCAGGGTCCACTTCTGGGTTCTCTATTCTGTTCCAATTATTTATGTGTCTGTTTTTGTGCCAGTACCACACTGTCTTGATGACCACAGCTTTGTAGTACAACCTGAAATCTGGCATTGTGATGCCCCCAGATATGGTTTTCTTTTTTAAAACTCCCCTGGCTATTCGGGGTCTTTTCTGATTCCACACAAATCTTAACATGATTTGTTCCAACTCTCTGAAGAAAGTCCATGGTATTTTGATAGGGATTGCATGAAACGTGTAAATTGCCCTGGGTAACATTGATATTTTCACAATATTAATTCTTCCAATCCATGAGCCTGGAATATTTTTCCATCTCTTTGTGTCTTCCTCAATTTTTTCAGAAATGTTCTATAGTTTTTAGGGCATAGTTCCTTTACCTCTTTGGATATTTATTCCTAGGTATCTCATGCTTTTGGGTACAATTGTCAATGGGATTGACTCCTTAAATTCTCTTTCTTCAGTCTCATTGTTCGTGTATAGAAATGCCACTGATTTCTGGGCATTGATTTTGTATCCTACCACACTGCCAAATTGCTGTATGAGTTCTTGCAATCTTGGGGTGGAGGCTTTTGGGTTTTCTATGTAGAGTATCACATCATTGGCGAAGAGGGAGAGTTTGACTTCTTCTTTGGCAATTTGAATGCCTTTAATGTCTTTTTGTTGTCTGATTGCTGAGGCTAGGACTTCTAGTACTATGTTGAATAGCAGTGGTGAGAGTGGACATCCCTGTCTTGCTCCTGATCTTAGGAGAAAGGCTCCCAGTGCTTCCCCATTGAGAATGATATTTGCTGTGGGCTTTTCGTAGATGGCTTTTAAGATGCTGAGGAATGTTGCCTCTATCCCTACACTCTGAAGAGTTTTCATCAGGAATGGATGCTGTATTTTGTCAAATGCTTTCTCTGCATCTAAAGAGAGGATCATATGGTTCTTGGTTTTTCTCTTGCTGATATGATGAATCACATTAATTGTTTTTCGAGTGTTGAACCAGCCTTGCATCCCGGGGATAAATCCTACTTGGTCATGGTGAATAATCTTCTTAATGTATTGTTGTAGCCTATTGGCTAGTATCTTGTTGAGAATTTTTGCATCCATGTTCATCAGGGATATTGGTCTGTAATTCTCCTTTTTGGTGGGGTCTTTGTCTGGTTTTGGAATTAAGGTGATGCTGGCCTCATAGAACGAATTTGGAAGTACTCCATCTCTTTCTATCTTTCCAAACAGCTATAGTAGAATAGGTATGGTTTCTTCTTTAAACGTTTGATAGAATTCCCCAGGGAAGCCATCTAGCCCTGGACTTTTGTGTCTTGGGGGGTTTGTGATGTCTGCTTCAATTTCCTCCCTGGTTATTGGCCTGTTCAGGTTTTCTATTTCTTCCTGTTCCAATTTTGTTAATTTGTGGTTTTCAGAAATGCATCCATTTCTTCTAGATTGCCTAATTTATTGGCGTATAGCTGCTCATAATTAGTTTTTAAGATCATTTGTACTTCCTTGGTATTGGTGGTGATCTCTCCTTTCTCATTCATGATTTTATTAATTTGAGTCTTCTCTCTCTCTTTTTTTAAATAAGGCTGGCTAATGGTTTATTTATCTTATTAATTCTTTCAAAGAACCAAC